GCCATCTACGCATATAATTTTTGGATCGTCCAGCAGTCAAGCTGGCTGGATTGGCGCGACAACGACGTGGAATTGGGTGCGATGTTGCAGTTTTTTTCGCTTGATGCTAGTATTAGAATCGACAGCAGCAGTGTGGTGACGCTGACGGGCTGCAATATGGGCTCGACGGGGCTGTCGATACCTCTGCTATCGCAGGCTGGGGACGGCTACCGGTTCGTTGCTGGGTGTCTGACTGTTCTTGGACGGGTGGTGACGACGGCGGCAGGACTGGAGCTGAACGGCATCACCAACGTGACGACGGTTGCCGCGTGCGGGGAGTGCACGAAGGAGGGCGACTGCTTTGCTCCTCTGACGACGGCGGTCAGCGACTGCAGGTGCCAGTGCGCTGCTGGAGGGCACGGCGATGTGTGTGTCCCGGCGCCTGTGCCTGCTGGCCCGCCACCACCGCCACCGCCGCCGTCGTCACCGCCCACACCGCCACCGCCGCCGATTGGTAAGTGCATCAGCGACATGGTGTACCCCGAGGTGGCGCAGGCAGTGGGCGGCGGGCTGTCGTGGCTGTGCTACCGCAACGTGACGTTCAGCGGGGGCGGTATGATCCTGACGGTGCTGATTGGGGCGATGACGGGCGACGTGGCGAATGCCACGTTCGATGGATGCACGTGGAGGGACGGCGCCCTGCTGTTGCTGTTGGGCAACGCGCACGCCGCTGTGGGGTCGCTGAACATTGTTGTCACCGGCAACACATTTAGTGACGCGTTGCTTAGCCCGGAGGGTGTTTTTCCACCGCACACGAACATTACGATCAGCGGGAACCGCTTCACGGTCACGAGGCTGGTCTCTCGGTCGGGTTTGGCCATTGACAGACCGTCGTGTGTTGCGATGAATGAGCTGGCGATCAGCAACGACTCCGCGGTGGTGCTCAGTGGCAATGTGTTTCAGAGCGTGAGGGCATCGTCAAGTGCCATTCACGTTGTCAGATCTGCGCTGAGGGTGTCGTGGCACTCCGTGTTTGCGGTGTTGGGCAACGTGTTTCATATGACTGGCGGCGAGGGTACGCTGATGCATCTTGAAGGTTATACCGAATTCTTGTCGCTGTGTGTACTGAACAACTCTGCCGTGGTGATTCGAGGCAACGCTGTGACGAGGCCGGTGCAGTACTTCATGCTGTTTCTTTGGTTATTTTGTGTGGAGTCCCGGTCAGCGGTTGTTTTTCGGGACAATGACATGCAAGGAAGCTCGGCTGTTTTCTTTTCAAGCCACTCTTCCTACATTTACTACAACTCCTGGCTGCAGTTAAGCGGCAACCTTTGCCGCGTGTCCCCAGTGGTTGCTTTTGCTGTTTTTAACCCCACGGTGAATCTCCGTGACTCCACGGTGTCTGTGTCCGGCAACCAATTCATTTCCAGCACGTTCACGCCAACAATGCTGCAGATACCCTCATTTTCTAGCGACCTCACAAACGGAGCGATTGTGGCTGCGTGCAACACTGTGAACGGCGAGGAGGAGGCGAAATACAGCATCCCGTCCGTGTACAATGTCACCGTCCTGACCTGCGGCGATCCATGCACCCTTGCGACGTCGTGCTTCCCCGCGTACACGACGACGGCCTCGAGTGATGGCTGTGCCTGCACGTGCGCGGAGGGCGGCCATGGCGATGCGTGCCTGCCCGTTGCTGTCACCGAGCCGCCGAGCACCGACGGCGCCGACTTGTGCGTGCGCGATATGCGTTGTGATGTGGAGGTGAGCGCCGGTCTCGGGACGTCGGTGGCGTGCTACGTTGGTGTGACCTTTGCGGCGGACGTCGTGGTGGACGTGGAGTCGATGTCAGGGAGCGTGCGCAACGTGACGCTGGTGAACTGCACGTTTTTGCGCGGAGCGAGCCTGTACGTTGTCGGGTGGAGTTCCGACCCGCCTGCTGGCGAGCGCGCCGATGTGTTGATCAGCGGGCTTGAGTCGCGCTCCAGCGGCGGCGTGCTGGTGGCGAACCGATTTCCGCCGGGCTCGCGCGTCACTGTGGTGGACTCGGTGCTGATCGCAGAGAATCGTGTTGCGTACCGCGGCGCCTACGACCTTGGCGATGCCTCCGCGTGCCTCGTGCTGCACAACGTGAATCTGACGGGGAGCGTGCTGACCATCGCGCGCACGCATGTGGCGGCTGTGTTCGGCGACGCTGTTGGCGTGTTGTTTGTTGGCGGCGTGGCGCTGTCGTCGCGCGGTGCGCTGTACTTGGACGGGCTGTTGGTGCAGACGGCGCTGGGGCTGTGCGTGTCGGTGGAGGGCGGTGTTGCGGCCAGTGGCGGCTCCGTGGTGGCGTTTGTTGACAGCGACTTCCTGCTGTGCAAGCACGCGGTGTCTGTGCGTGGGGCTGTGAGCGTGTCGGGCTCCGCTGTTACGCTTGTGCGGAGCGAATTCTTGTCGACGGAGGACTACGCGGTGGCGTTTTATTCGACGGTGGGCCTGGCTGGTGGGTCGATGCTGCTGGCGAAGAGCAACGTGCACGACGGCGTCTCGAGGGAGATGCTCTACGCCGCTGGCACCGTGACCACTGCTGGGAGCACGCTGAGCTTTGTGCGCAACCGAGCGCTGCTGCCGCGGATGCTGTCGGTGAGCCTGTCGCTCGCGGCTGGGGCGCATGTGAGGGTGGCGTGCAACGACGCTGGTGGACGTGTCCTGTCGACGGCGGAGGAGTACGCAGCGGCTGGTTTTGGCGACGCTGGGCGCATCGACGTTGCTGGGTGCGACGACTGCGACAGGGACACGCACTGCTACGCGCCCGGGACGGCGTCTGCGAGCATGAGGAACGGTGTGTGCGTGTGCGATTGCGGCAGCGGCGGGTACGGCGAGGCGTGCTTGCCTGTGGGAGCTCCCGCACTGCCGCCCGCTGTGGGCACCGCGTCGAGTGTGTTGTTCCGCGAGGGCGTGACGGTGCAGTCGGTGTTCGTTGTGCCTGCCGGCGCGAGCGAGGTGACGTTGCGCCACGTTGTGCTGGACGGCGTGAGTCCTGTGCTCTACGTGCCGTGGATGGCGCGAGGCGGCGTGCGGATTGTTGTGCAGAACGTGTCGCTGCTGAACGGTGCCGTGCTGTATGTGATGGGCGGTCGAGCGTTGCGCGGTGCGCTGGTGATGGGAAGCGGCGAGAGCTGGCCGGTGGAGCTCTCCGTGTGCGATGTGGAGGCGCTGAACGGTGCGCTCGTGCTGACCGGCACGTTCCCCGCGGGGTCCGTGCTGACGGTGACGGACTCCCTGCTGGTTGCCGCGCGGCCGACGCCGCTTGTGTATCTTCCCGGCTCGCAGTCCTCGCCGTACTCACCGGTGCTTGTGCTGTCGGGCCTGCGGCTTGTGCGGTCCGTGCTGGTTGTGTCCGGCGTTGCTCTCGTGACCGTGGTGACTGGTGGGCGGACGGTGGTGGTGGACGGCGCGGTGCTGGAGCTTGTCGGTGGCGGTGTTGCGCTGGACGCGGCTGTGCTCGGTGGCGAATATGCGTTTTACGCGAGTGCGCGCGTGGTTGCGTCGGGGGGCGCTGTGCTGCGCGTGTCGGGGAGCCAGGTGTACGCCGCGCATGGGCTGGTGTTCGGCAGCGGTGTGGTGGCCAACGCGTCCGCCGTGGTGGTGAACGAAAACGCCGGTGTGCTGACCGATGGCGCGCTGCTGGAGCTGCGGGGGTCGGCGTCGTTTGTGTCCGGTTCGTGGCTGTCGGTGCGCGGCAACAGCATCAGCGGCAGGCTTCTGTCTGTGCCGTCGTACCCGCGCCGTGCGGACCTCGTGCAGAGCATTCTGACGCTCTACGGGAACGCCGGCAGTGGGCCCGTCGTGATGGACGGCATTGTGGCGCTCGGGGGTGCCGGCCGGAAGTTCGTTTTGGGGTGCCTGACGCTCAACGGGCATGCGCTGCAGCCGATCAACTACAGGTCCGCCGGCATAATCGGGGAATTCCGTCCCGTGGCGTGTGGCGTGTGCGACGCCGACGTGCACTGCTTTGCTGCTGCGACGAGGGCGATGTCGGGGTCGTGCCGCTGCCGCTGTGCTGAGGGCGGGTACGGGCGCGACTGCCTGCCGGTGTACCTGCCGCACGTGGACGGGTGCAACCGCACGTCTGCCCCGCTGAGCCACACGACGACGCTGACGGAGACGCGCAGCCCGACTTCAACGTGGACGGCAACGCCGACACCAACACCGAGCCTGAGCACGGCTCACTACAGTCCGACGCGGTACGGGCCGACGGAGACGCTGCAGGTGATGGAGACGGTGGCGCTGCCGCCCACGCGGACCCCGACGGCGTCGGTGAGCAGCACGCTGTGGTGGAGCGACGTGGCGTGCCCGACGCTCGCCGTGACGACGACGGCTGATGGTGGGAGCCTGACGCAGAACGACATCCGCGGCGGTGGGAGCGCCGTCCCGACACTGCTGATGGTGACGCTGCCGCCGCCGTTTCGGTGGACACGCGACCCGCAGCTTGGCACGCATCTGAGCTTTGTGCCTGTGTCGACGGCGCAGCCTCGTGGGCTTGGCGGTCCGTGGGGAGCGATGCTGCGCAACGCGACGTGGATGCGCAACGCGACGAATCCGTCCACCGTCCTGGAGCTGGCTGTGCCCGTGCACCGCGGTTACTTCATTGCTGTCGACGAGACGATAGTCATTCGCTGCGACGCTGCGGCAGTGTCCGGCGGCTGCAAGGGAGTGCTGCTTGGGTCCTTCACGATCAGGTCTGACACGCTGCCCGCCGCTGCCAGCGCCCTCTCGGCGATCACCGGCGTTGTTGCGGGTGCGACGGCTGTTGCCGTGGTGGTGACCGGCGGGCTGGGCTCCGTCCTGGAGATGCAGGCGCTGGGCGTGTTCGCGAGGATGTCATGCGCCTCGACGCAGGAGCGTGCGAGCACCGCTGCGCTGCCGTACTTCC